TTGTATGTTTTACCTTCCAGTCCCTTAATCATCCTGGTTGTTTTTCTTTGCACGCTTTCTACAGTCTCAACATTTTTTTATAGTGTGGTGATGAGAACTGAATGGATTGTGGGAAGCCTCCCCCCCCCCCAAAGAATGAAATATTTTGGAAAATATTAAAAAGGCAGAATATTATGTTTCCCCAAAGGGAGAAATGGAGAAAAGTGCTTTTAAGGCAGAAAACAGACTCAGTCTTTCTTAATAGCCCCCCCCCCTTCCATCCCAGCAGACATTTTGTGTCCATTAAGAAAGACTGGGCCAGCCAGTCTTATAATGAAAGTGTTAGAATGTGCAGAGAAGGACAAATTTACAAAAGAAATAAAAGAGGAGGAGGAAACAGAATATTATATGGTATGGAACGAGTGGTACAAATGGTACAGGACAGGTGTAAGGCTTAAGGAAAGGCTAAATGAAGAAGATACAGGAGTTAGAAATTAACAATGTATAGGTAGAGATTAACAAACATGTATAAATGGAATGAAGGATTGTAAATTAAGGACTGTATGTAATAGTATCATATGTATAGACAAAAAAACTGAAATAAGGGGGGAGAAGTGGATTTACAATGGAAATAATGTACAGAAGGAAATTGCAAAAAAAATATTTCCTTTTGTCTTTTTTTTAAAAAAACTTTTCAATAAAATATTTTTTTAAAAAAGGAAACTGAAAGCCATTCACTGCAAAGAAAGAAAGAAAAGAAAGAAAAAAAGAAAAAAGAAAAAAGAAGGAAAGAAAGAAAAAAGAAAGAAAGAAGAAAAGAAAGAAAAAAAGAAAAAAGAAAGAAAAAAAGAAAGAAAAAAAGAAAAAAGAAAGGAAAAAAGAAAAAGAAAGAAAAAAGAAAGAAAGAAAGAAAGAAAGAAAGAAAGAAAGAAAGAAAGAAAGAAAGAAAGAAGAAAGACTGGGCCAGCCTATCTACAAAACAAAAGACCTTCAGCTCCAGGGTGATGGGATTAAAAGCAGGACATGATCCTTTAGGACATAATAGGATTAGCGCACTACCACGTAGCAGAAGACACAGGGCTCACTACATTGCACAATCTCCTAAGAGCATTTCAGGCATAGCACAACTCCCCTAGCAGCATCTCTGAAACTTATAAAACTCCATGTACTCATCAAACCGATTGTTCAGTTGATCCAGGACTGCTGTTGCCATGATGTAGAAAGAGTGCAGAGAAGAGCAACAAAGATGATTAGGGGACTGGGGGCTAAAACATATGAAGAACGGTTGCAGGAACTGGGCATGTCTAATCTGATGAAAAGAAGGACTAGGGGAGACATGATAACAGTGTTCCGATATCTCAGGGGCTGCCACAAAGAAGAGGGAGACAAGCTATTCTCCAAAGCACCTGAGGGTAGAACAAGAAGCAATGGGTGGAAACTAATCAAGGAGAGAAGCAACTTAGAACTGAGGAGAAATTTGATAGTTAGATCAATTAACCAGTGGAACAACTTGCTTCCAGAAGTGATGAATGCTCCAACACTGGAAGTTTTTAAAAAGTTGTTGGACAACTA